CATTTATCCCCCTTTCATCCTATACATATTAAGGAGACCAACTAAAACTTCATGACCATTTCCTGAAAGCGAAGAAACCGATCAACAAGCTCCTGGTCGAGCTGCTCATAGAACTATTGTTCTTACCAACGAAAGTAATGGCAAGTGCGACTAGCTGGAACTATTCTCTCTACTGAACCAGTAGGACCGGACCCTTCAAATTAACGGTGAGCTTAATGTTATAATCGTGGGCATTAACGATCGAAATGCGAAACTTTAATTTCACATAGGACTGCAATATCATCCGACTAGAACTCCGAAACAGGACATGTTCATTTCAAAGGACGCGAACAAAGCGATCGAATACAGGAGCCGCCGGCAGTTCGTCAGAGCAGTCGTCAGTGCAGTCAGTCTGAAGCATCTCCACTGCATATTCAAAAAGCCCTTCTTCACTTCTTTCGACGGTACGTTTTTTTTTCAACAAAGGATAAAGTCTTCGCCGTGGATCAGTCCTTTTGATGCGGCACGCATTACTCTTCCATTCAGTGTCGTAGTGGATCACTGAATGCACTCTATCCAATGACTGGGGGGAAGGGGCGGGGGGCAGCCAATGTGTAAGTCAGTGTCCTTATCCAGTCAGACCAATCTGGTACCAATTTAGTGTCCCCGGACGGTGCATGGCCTGGTGTGCCTGGACAGAAGCCGATCCGGGACTTGACCCTCGGACCGCACGCGTGATAAGGCGTGCTTCTCGCCACTGCATCACCTACGCCGTCGTTTCTTATATAACTGTGGGAAGTGGCAGAAAGTAAGCTTCTGTTTTGCAAGTCCCTTAAATGAGATGCAGTGCAGTCACATACCGTGTTCAAGAACGAAAGAAATGTAAATACCAAACTAAAAGCCCCTCTATCAGGTCTGCGTTGGAAGGAAACAACTGGTTTACAGCTGCTCAAGAGCAATCTTATCCACTGGTCAATACCAGCTTCCGTTTCATGCGAAAAACCTGCTCAACTAGACGCTATGCCTGTAAAGCGGCAATAGTGAAGAAACGAGGAGGTAAGGATGCTTTCAAAAAGCAGCTTCGTCTTATTGTCGTTAACTTCCAGTGGATCGCTGGTATACAACAGCTGAGGCACAATTATCACCGACCTCGTGTGAACCACCGTACAGTTGCAGTACCGTACAAGGGCGCTAGATATAAGATGGTAATTTCCAAGGAGCATCGTTCTACTCATGGAATGTTCATTAACCTTATTTTTGTCAGGGTTCGAGTGGATGGTAAATACGGTGGAAACAAGCACCGGCGTTGTTGAATGACGCTCATCTACCTCGTAATCTGCTGTGAAGATCTAAACATACAAATGGAACGACAACAT